ACATGGATTTATAGTGGTTCGGTCAACTTGACCTACGTCCACTCCCCGGAGGCGCCCTCCTAGTATTGCACTACCAACGTGACACTCTTTTATCCCCCACAGCTAGGCGGAGAAGCCCTTATAAAAACACCTCCTTTTTGCCACACACGGCAAGGCAGAGAACCCAACTTCTTTTGCTTCCTCTTGAAGCAGGTAGAGAACCACGATCACTTGTTGAAACTTACCTCTCCCAACCCTTCCAAGGACAAGAGACTCTAGGGAAGAAGAAGTGGAACAATGCTTGGAGTAACCCTTGTGAACCCCCTCAAAAGATCCTCTCTCTCTCTCTCTCTCTCTCTCTCTCTCTCTCTCCCTCTCTCTCTCTCCTTTAGGTTTTCTCAAGTCAAGAAAGCAGCTAAGGATATTCAAAAATGTTGAATAAGAGCTCTTAAATAGAAGAGCTTCAAAGGAGCTCATTAATTGCAAGTTACCGACTTTATCGTCCAGAACAATATGGAAATCATTCTGGCCGATCAGTACAATTCTCATAAGATCGGCCAGAGCATCGCCATAAATGCAAACTGAATGATTGAAAATTTGCTTGATCATCCCAGACGATCTCACGATCATCTTGGCTGATCTCACGATCGTCCTGGCCGATCAGTTCAAATCAAAGGAAAATCATCGAGAGCATCGCCCTGAATTTGAGCTGTCCGATCTAAATCGGCCAAAGCATCGCCCTGAATTTGTACTAGCCGATATTTATCGTCCAAGAGAAACCAAGGGTTTTTGAATGGAACGTCCAGGCCGATATTGCGATCATCCAGGATGATGTGATCATATCAATCATCCTTAATTACTCCCATGATTGCTGGATCAATTTAGGCATAATTATGTTCAGGCCGATAAAAGAATCGTCCTGACTGATTTCCAAAAATACAGAATACCTAAATAGATCATGGCGGCAATTTCTTTCTACATTGAGCATATCGTCCTGGCCAATACAGGTATTGTCCAGGCTGATCAGTTAATTATGGCTGCCTTAACTAAGAAATCCTGATTAGATCTTCTATTTTGAACTCGATCGTCCAGGATGATATAAATATCATCCAGGCTGATGTGAGTAAAAACAAAAGTTCTAAATCTCTCAAGTGTGTGTGTAGGGTTACTTAACATCAGTCAATTCAAATAATTACAATTGACTCAAGAAAGAAAAAAGAAAATTACAGATTGACTCAACCCTAATCTACCCAATCTTGAGCTGATTCTGATTTCAGTCCGATCTTTGAATCCTGAAAATATTAGTAGTAAAGGCAGTCGAAAAGAAGAAAGAGTGTTTGCTAATCATCAAAACATAATTCATAGAATCTTTAACAATCTCCCTCTTTTTAATGATGGCAAACACTTTGACAATTAATCCAAAAAATAGTAGTGTATAACATGGAATTGAAAGTGCAAGCATACAAAAGACCCCTCTCCCCCTTTTGACATCTCAAAAAGGAGGAAACTAAGAAAAAAAATAAAAGACCTCTTTTTTTTTTTAACCAAGGCATGAACATGATGTAGTATTCCATGTGATTGATTTGTAAAAATTTTGTGAGCTAATGAATCAACATCAAAAAAGTCCATAAAACGGTATAATATCCAATCATGATTACCCTTAGCTCGGACTTTATTTTAGGGTAGAATTATCTTTGGAAGTCAATGAACTAACTCAAAGAATTCAATTGGATAGAAAAAGGATCCATTCATCACTTGTTTCCAGAAAAAATCTCTTATAGAATAATGAACCAAAGTGAATTTGTCACAATCGCAAAATAATCAAAATCAAGCCTTTGATATATGAAATCTTCTAAGTTTTAAAAGATTTGAAAGGAGAGGAGAGCTTGCTTTTGGTGGGCTTATTTTATGCCTCTTGTCAATTGAATGGCACTTTGTGCATCTTTTGATTTTTAATACACTTTGTGTATATATTTGTTTTCAATTTTGGCGTCATTGCGCATCTTTTGTTGGCATCATTGGCTAAATTTTTTATTTTTGCAAGCTTCATTCTCTTTCAAAAACTCTTAAAAATAATCTTAGTTGTGAGTATATCTTCTAGATATTAGAGAATAGGAGCTCTCTCTAACGTAGGGAAGAACAATTCACAAAATAGAATCAATAACCATTGACAAGAGTAACGAGGAATTTTGATGTGCCAAAAAGACTTTGATCATTATAAATACAAGATAGATTTGCTTTGGCAAGGTTAGAAAAGATCTTAATTTTACACACAATTGTTAATTTGAAATAGATTTTTGATTAGAAAAGAAAATTGTACCATTAAAATAGATTAGAGAAAGAGACACAATTAACGGTATATTTTTACCATCTAATAGATTTAAGAGATGTAAAACATTGACTACAAATTTTCGAAACCAAGGATAAGGCATAGGATATCATTTCAGTGATAATTTTAAAAACCAAATGAAAGTAAAATAAATCAAACAAAAAATTGAAAGTAAAGCAAAAAGAAGAAAAGAACA